CAGAAAATTAAGGAAACAGTGACTTTGGATGACATATTGGACAAGATGAAACTAACATCATATATATTCATAACATTCCATCAAAAAATAGATTATTTTCAAGTGCATCTAGGACATTCTCCAGAATAGATCACTTGTTAGGGCACAAAACAAGTATCTATGAATTTAAGAAGATAAAACCACATCAAGCATCTTTTCCAAAAAAAAAAAAAAAAAAAAAAAAAAAAAAAAAAAAAAAAAAAAAAAGATATGAAACCACAAAAATCAATTGCAAGAAAAATACGGAAAAAAACACAAAGCTAAGCAACATGCTACTAACCAACCAATAGTTCAACAGAAGAAGAAAAAATAAAAAAATACATGGAGACAAATGAAAATAAAAACATAATAGCTCATACTCTTTGGGATGCAGCAAAACCGTTCTGAGGTAAGATTATACCACTATAGGCCTGTCTCAAGAAAGAATAAAAATCTCGAATTAATAACCTAACCTTACACTTAATGGAGCTAGAAATAAAGGAACAAAGGCCAAAGCCAGTAGATGGAACAAAATAGTAACGATTAGAGCAAAAGTAAATGAAATAGAGGTTTAAAGAAATAAAAGAGGGGCGCCTGGGTGGCTCAGTTGGTTAAGTGACCGACTTCGGCTCAGGTCATGATCTCACAGTCTGTGGGTTTGAGCCCCACATCGGGCTCTGTGCTGACAGTTCAGAACCTGGAACTTGGTTCGGATTCTGCGTCTCCCTCTTCCTCTGCCCTCTCCCACTCATGCTCTGTCTCTGTCTCTCTCTCTCAAAAATAAATAAACATTAAAAAAAAATTTTAAAGAAAGAAATAATAGATCAGAAAAACCAGGAGCTGGTTATTTGAAAAAAAATCAACAAAATTGATAAACCTTTAGCCAGACTTATCAGAAAAGAGAGAGAGGGAGAAAAGACTCAAGATCAGAAATGAAGGAGAAGAAATAACAACTGACACCACTGAAATACAAAAGATTATACGAGAATACTATGAAAAACTGTGTGCCAACAATTTGGACAACTAGAAGACAGGGATAAATTATATAAATATAAAACTTTTCAAAACTGAATCAGGACATAATAGAGAATTTGAACAGACCAATTACTAGCAATGATACTGAAACCATAATTTAAAAATTCGCAACAAAGAAAAGTTGAGGACCACATGGCTTCACAGGTGAATTTTTTTAAGCCATTTTATTTTATTTTATTTTATTTTATTTTATTTT